TCTTACCGGGGGAGCATGCCACCGGACCCCCCTAGAGGAGGTGAGGTCCACCTGCACTTAAAATATATTCACATAGGTTCCTAAATAGATTTGCACATTATTTTAAACAGTAACCCATGTCCATATGTTTATTCTGGGGTAGTAGATTTAAAGTTTAGGGCTATCACTATGGGCAGCCAGCAACGCTGTAAATATTGACAAATAAATCCAGAAAAATGGCACAAAAGAAAACTGGTAGTGGCCTGGCTGGGTGTATAATTCCCGGCCTGACTTATTTTCCCAGTCCGGCCCTGCATCGGGATGTGGCCTGCAGGCGGAAGCAGCGACGGGAGGACGACGCGCGGAAAGCTTCGGATGAAACGACTGGCGAGGAGTATGCTTTCCGAGTCAACGACGTGGACAACAAGGTCCAGCCAGGGCACAGCATCACCGAGAGAGGACTGATGGTGGACACAGGGGCGACTTCACATATCGTCACGGATGTAACAAAGTTCAAGAGGTTTGATGATGACTTCCAGGCTGAATCCCACTGTGTGGAATTAGCTGATGGTACCAGGTGCAATGGTGTAGCAGAAGGAAGAGGGGACGCTGTTGTTATTATGGTGGATAGCATGGGGAAAAGACACAAAACAACCCTGAATAAGGCGTTGTACATCCCATCGTACCCCCAAGACATTTTTTCTGTGAAAGCAGCTACTACCAAAGGAGCAACGGTAACCTTCGAGCAGGGCAAAGACGTCCTGCAACACAAAGACGGTACACATTTTCACATTTATGAATTGAACAGACTTTATTTCTTGAACACAGTAAATGATGAATGTGATGACCAATGCAACAGGTGTTATGATTTACAGACATGGCATGAGATCCTAGGGCACTGTAATTATGATGATATTCAGAAGTTACAGAATGTTGTTAAAGGCATGTCAGTTAAGGGTAAGGTAAACAAACCTCCACATTGTGATGTATGCACTAAAGGGAAGTTTACCCAAACCAGGAACAGAGAGCCTGATGTAAGAGCCAGAGCAGCTCTAGAGCTGGTGCACACAGATATAGCAGGACCAGTAGATCCGCAATCCAGAGAAGGCTTTAAGTATGCTTTATCATTCACAGATGATTACTCCAGTGCAGTGTTTGTGTATTTCCTTAAAAACAAAAGTGACACAGTGCAAGCAACAGAGAGATTTCTGGCCGATACTGCCCCATACGGGAAAGTAAAATGTATCAGGTCAGACAATGGCACAGAGTTCACAGGGAAACATTACCAAGCGTTACTATGCAGTAGGGGTGTAACGGTACACGTACCCGTACCGAAATTATTCGGTACGGGCCCTTCGGTTCGGTACAGGTGTGTACCGAAGTGTACCGAACGAATATAACGTTAAACGTAAAAAATTGAGAACGTGAACAACTTTTTGGAAGTAATCTCAGGTGCTGCGTCGCAGCATTCAGAGTAATTTGGTCACATTGGGTTCAACGCGTCATAGAGCGAGCAAGTCATTTCATTGGATGAGAGGCATACTATGAGAGCTGGTCAGAGGGATGCGTTCAAATGTAGTCAGTAATTTGAGGAACTGTCGAAAATTAATGGCGAACGCAGATAAAGTTGAGCTCGAAAATCCTCCAGCATCATTGAAGTCTCCGGTTTGGGAACATTTTGGTTTCGCAGTTACGTACAAGGATGAAGGACAAAGACAGGTGGACCGAACCAAAGCTGTTTGTCAGCATTGTTCAACTAAAATTGGTTACGCGGCTGGCAATACATCAAACTTGCACACTCTTGAAAAGGCATCACCCGAACGTGAATATCACCGGTACCAAAAGTAAAAAGACTGAAGTGCAAATCCAACTCCCGCTAGCATTTAAGCCTCCACCACTCGCAGAAAGTTCAGACCGAGCCAAAGCTATTACAAACGCCAAATATCCTTATGTTGCCATGTTAGCAAAGCGCTACCTGGCTGTATCTGCTACCTCTGTCCCTAGAGAGAGGGTGTTCTCCACAGCAGGAGACATTGTTAGTGCCAGCAGATCTGCCCTTTCGGCAAGCAATGTGGACAAGTTAATTTTTCTTTAAAAAAACATGAAAATACAATGACAAGCAAGTCATAATGTCAAACTGGCTGCTTAGGAACTAGTACAGTACAGTTCAAATACAGATTATTTCAGTTCATCGAAAAGCTGCACCTTAATGTTTATTTTATTATATTTTGTATTTATTTGAGTGAATATTCACAGTTTAATAATAATTAAAAACCCAAAACTAATAGTTTATGTTTTGTGAGTACTAGTAGCCTACAGTAAAGTTCAAATACAGATTATTTCAGTTCATCGAAATGCTGCACCTTAATGTTTATTTTATTATATTTTGTATTTATTTGAGTGAATACATTATTCACAGTTTAATAATAATAAAAAAAATATATATATATATGTTTTGTTCTGTGAAAAAAAATTCTGCTGTACCGAAAACGTACCGAACCGAACCGTGACCAAAAAACCGAGGTACGTACCGAACCGAAATGTTTGTGAACCGTTACACCCCTACTATGCAGTAATAAGATTAGACATGAAAAGTCAGCACCGTACTCCCCACATCAAAATGGCACTGCTGAGAGGAATTGGCGCACACTTTTTGACATGGCCAGGTGCATGCTTATAGAAAATGAGATGCCAAAAAGTATGTGGACCTATGCAGTACAGACAGCAGCCGTAGTAAGGAATAGATGCTTTAACAACCGCACAAAACAGACACCTTACTTTATGCTGACAGGTAGACGACCTAACCTGTCCAGAATGCACAAGTTTGGGTCAGTGTGCTATGCCTATAAGCAAGACAAAAAGAAACTGGACTCAAGGTGTGAGGAGGGAATTTTTGTTGGATATGACAAAAATAGTCCAGCCTTCATGGTCTATTTCCCTCACAGTGGAAAAGTGCAAAAATCTAGACTTGTGAAGTTTGTGACCAAGACCAATTCAGAAAGAGAAACACAAACAGAAACTGTCTCTGATGATGACTTTGAGGTACAGAACAAATCTGGCAAAATCAAGTGTGATACTAACGTTAGTCCAGTATCTATACCTGTGGTAACAGAGACAGAAGACGACAAGAGTGAGCTTAGGCGTTATCCTTCAAGAGTGAGGAAGAAGCCAGCTTACTTATGTGCCAGTGTATGTGGTAAGGAAAGTGAGGATCAGCTACTGACAAATATTGACTATTGTTACAGATTAATGTGCAATATCCCTTTAACATTTAGGGAAGCTGTAACTTCATCTGAGTCAAAACAATGGGTTATTGCAATGGATGAGGAAATGCAATCACTAAAAGAAAATGATACATTTATCCTGACCAACTTACCTCAGAGTGAGAAAGCAGTGGGGGGTAAATGGGTGTATGATATCAAAACCAATGTTGATGGGTCCGAAAGATACAAGGCACGATATGTAGCCAAGGGATACAGTCAGAAGAGGGGCGAAAACTATGATGAGACATTTTCACCTACCGCTAACCTCACCAGTATCAGAGTGTTAATGCAAAAAGCAGCACAGGAAAATCTGATTTTACACCAAATGGATGTTAAAACTGCTTACCTACATGCACCAATAGACTGTGAGATATACATGGTTTTGAGGTCAAATCCAGTAAAGGTGAAAAGTTGGTGTACAAGCTAGAAAAGTCACTATATGGGCTTAAACAGTCAGGCAGAAATTGGAACAAAATGCTGCATGAGTATCTGAGTGAAAAAGAGTTCCTACAGAACCCGGCTGACCATTGTGTTTACACAAAAGAAACTGAAAACTGGAAAGTGATAATGATAATATGGGTTGATGACATAATCATTGCAGCTAGTGATAACAATGCATTGAAAGTTGTTAAGGAGATGCTCACAGCTAAATTCAGGATGAAAGACTTGGGGAAAATAAAACATTTCCTGGGCATTGATTTTGATCAAACTGATTCATGTGTAAAGATGTCACAGAAGAAATATGTGAACAAAATACTTGAAAGGTTGAACATGCAGGATTGTAAACCGAGAGCGACACCTTGTGAGCAAAAACTGAACTACTTAGATGATGCTGTACCGATGAAGGATGTTAGAATGTACAGAGAGGCAGTAGGTAGCCTGATCTACCTGGCTGTGTGCACGAGGCCTGATTTGAGTTTTGTTGTCAGTAAACTGTCCCAGTATTTTTCTGAGCCGACAGAAGAGCAATGGACTACTGTAACACATGTACTGAGATATTTGAAAGGTACAATCGACAGGGAACTGTGTTACCGGAAAAGTAAGAGTGAAAAACTGGGCTTACAAGCATACAGCGATGCAGATTGGGCTGCTGATCTAACCGACAGACGGAGTATGTCAGGTTATTGTGTTAGCCTTAATGAGAGCGGGCCACTGGTTTCCTGGAAAACAAAAAAGCAGCCAACTGTCGCATTATCAACTTGTGAAGCTGAGTATATGGCTTTAGCAGCTACTATGCAGGAGTGTATGTACTTAATACAACTACTAGAAGGCATTGACAAATGTGAATATACACTACCTACGATTTACGAAGACAACCAGGGCACAATAGCGTTGGCAAAGAATCCTGTTAACAGACAGACATTAGGGTAATGTTGTGAATCGAGTGGCCCATGGTGGTGGTGAGGTTATGGTATGGGCAGGTGTATGTTATGGACGACGAACACAGGCCACTCGATTCACAACATTACCCTAACCCTACCCCTACCCCTAACCCCAACCCTAACCCTACCCCCACCCCTCACACCAGATACTGACTGGTCTTCGGACCCCCCCAGACCCCCCCAATAAAGCAAAACTGCACGTTTCAGAGTGGCCTTTTATTGTGGCCAGCCTAAGGCACACCTGTGCAATAATCATGCTGTCTAATCAGCATCTTGATATGCCACACCTGTGAGGTGGGATGGATTATCTCGGCAAAGGAGAAGTGCTCACTATCACAGATTTGTTCAGATTTGTGAACAATATTAGAGAGAAATGGTTATTTTGTGTTTATAGAAAATGTTTTAGATCTTTGAGTTCATCTCATGAAAAATGGGAGCAAAAACAAAAGTGTTGCGTTTATATTTTTGTTCAGTGTATATTCTAAATATATCAAATTGAGCATATAAATGAAAACTCTTTCACAGCAACCACATCCCCTGCTTTTTGGAAAAGTCTGGAGTCCCAGTCCCCAGCTGGTGCCTTTTTTTGTTAATATAGGACATACAGCAACCGCATGTTCATGCACAAACATTATTTGTCACACAGAGAGCAAACCCAGTCCCCAACTTGTGCCTCTTCAAGAGACTTTTGGTCCATATGCAGGCACTGTGTGTGGCACCACCGGAAACAGCTGTCACACTGAATCTGCAATAGAAGGAGTGGAGACAAATGAGAGTAAAGCCCTGCTTATAACAGCTTTGAGCAATGGTCAACTGCATCCCTCAAGTGTTTGTATTTAGTTTCTGCTTTCATTTAATGCTTTTCTACAAATCTAAATTGTGAAATATCTGAAGTCTCAATATTCATTAAACCTTACCCAGTCAGTGTGGGTGTGATGTGGCACTGAGCCGGGTGGTTTTATGCCGGCGCACATGGCACAGTTGACTTCTTTGTCAAACACTGATGAAAAAAAAATGCTAATGTTACATCTCAAGTACAACAATATCAGAATTGAATTGATATTTTGAAAATGTAGCACGCACCTGATGCTGTCAGTATTTCCATGGCCAACACTTTTCTTTGATGCGCCATCTCCTTTTTTGTGGTCCCAAAGGCCATTGTTGGTGTTTTAGGAAAGACTTCCATGACCTCCTTTGCCATCTTAAAGTGATACACCATGTTATGTTCTTAAAATAACTATCCAACTACCCCAAATGTGTTTTTGTGAAAGGCAGTAAAACAGACTTAATCCTAAAAGCTGAATGAATGTTATATTAGCAAAAAGCATATATGAAAATAAATATTCCACTTACCATGCAGACAACTACCCCACAGCTATTGCCATCCTGCTGTACTGGGTGTTTCATTACTCCTCTCTTCCATTTTATGTCTACCCAGTCCGTCTTACTGCAGCAGGTCCTCCTCATTTTGAAGTAATCACTGCGTGAGATAAGATATATTATTAATGTACAATGCATACTGTATAAATACAATACTCGCATTATAACATAAATCCTTGTCACACTGTGTCTCAGCAGTCGAGTAACACAATTTGAAGTGATGTTAATGCATGTTTCCCAAATGTATATTTTAAGATGTAACATGCAGACACCTACAGTAGTCTGATGTCAAAATGAATTGACAATTGTTCACTCTAAGGACAGGTTGTTTATTCATTTATTGGGTGTTATGGTATAATCGGTATGGACCAAAGTCAAACATGCACACATTTTTCACACATTATATGTTCTGGTGTAGTAGTACATCAATTAAAAAAACAAAAGGGCTGGTTGTGGCAATATAGCTGATCCATCTATTCCCACATAAATATAACAATAAATATAAACATTATATATGAGGGAATAGAATGAAATAAATATTTTTGAAAAATAGGTGAAATTGGATGCAGTTAGTACCTGAATTTGTTGGCAGCATTGTCTGACTCTGCCTGCTCTGCAGAGTTGCGTGCAGGATCTGCCAAATACACTGTGCTTTCTTCAGCATTGATGTACTGTGGACACAGAAAAAGAAATATATATATTTTGAAATAAACACAACATCTCCAAAAACTTAGCTGATCAAGAAATATACAATTATATGATATAGACACTACTAACCAGAAATTTCCAGTGTATACCGTCTACATGTACAAAGGACACAATGGCTCCATAGCTGTCAAAGTGTATCTGTAATACATAAGAACAAAACAACTTCCATTTCCCATCAGGCTGTATTTGTTTTCTTTATACAGTAGAGTCAAATAGCTTGATAGAGTATGTTTATATTTAGACAAAGACATAATGAAAACCTTTGTAGTTATCCTCAATAGAAACACAAGTTACCTTTGACAAAGTGTGCTTCATGACCTCTTCTCTTTTCCCAAAGAGGATCACACCAGCTGAGTAGTGGTTGAGAATATAAATCCTCGTCCCCAGTTCACATTTATGTGCATGTATATGGAAAAGACACTCGATGATCTGGAGAGAATGTCGACAAGCAGACATTAATAAGAAATACAATTATATTAAATAATAATGTAGTTGACAGGTGTTAAGTTTCGTTGATAAAAACAGAAAATTATAACAGTGAATGACCACATTTGACTACTTCTTCTAGTGTACAATAAAAGTTAAATATTCAACTGTGGATGCCTTTTAAGATTCACTTTTAAAAACAGTTTAATACATTTTAGGCTTTGGGTGCTAACAAGACTTCAGTGGTGTGCCATGAAGCTAGCGTTACATGAATATTGGATTAATGTGTAGTGAAGAGACTTGGTATGAGCACTGGTTCTGTCCTATGATATGGATGAAATACCTCGCCTGTAAGCCACTGGTGTGGTCTAAGGGTCCGCATGTCAGAGTGACGGATGGTAAAACTGTTGCCTCTTATTTGAGTGGGGACTACAGACACCACCACCTCAGTGTCCTTTTTTTCCCACAACGCGGTCAGCTGGGGGTCACAAAAAAAATACTATATCATTTTTATGTCCCAAAGCTAGATTGTTAACAGAGCATGAGATACACATTGTAAATTGAAAGGTATTATTTTATAACGTTCCTTTAGCATTCCTTAAACATTAAAATCTGCATTTTAACTTTTTAGTTAATCAATTATTTTACTATTTGTATCTGGTCCCTCTGATGAACTCCCTGATGATGTGTCCTTACAGTTTCTTACCTCTGATGAAGCATCCACTTTACCTCCCTGTGCGTCATCCTCAGCATGCTCCGTCATGTCTGATGTGGATGAAGATTGACCTTGTCTTGCCTTGTCTTTTGGATCCTGTATAGAAGCCGAAACATCAACATTGCCTTTCACTAGTGCTGGGGGGAAACGATTATTTTGAAAACGATTAATCGGGCGATTATTTGATCGATTAGTCGACTAATCTAACGATTATTTTTCTGTTGTTCAATTCATAAAAAACGTAATGTAAAAAAAAAAAATTTCACGATACTGTGTCTCAGGGGATCTTAATATTTAAGAACCTATTAATGTGTTATACCAGATTAACGGAAATAATCTCAGCTAACTGACGATACAAACCATGTTTACCAAAACAAAACACAAGTCTCATAAGAAGCATCTAAATGACCCCTGAGCGAAAAATGCTAACGGACATTGGCACAGAACTCAAGATAAAAGTACCCTTATTACTTATCGTAGCTGCACATACAATATATCCGATTAAAGCTGAGACTCCACAGATTATGTAGGTATATAGTATCATCACTGAGTGATCCGGACTCGCGACAGGGGAAGCAAATACAGTCATCACAACACGTACCTTCACAGAGCTTCTCGGGAGATCGTCTCACCACCGTAATCTGATCAAAAGACGTGTTCAATGGCAATAAAATGAGAAAAAACGCGGCTGAATCGGTTAATCCATAGGTTTTTAACGTCTATGTATAAAAAAATGATTGAATTTATAATCCATAATTCCATTTAATGTAAAAATCGGAGAGCAAATGCTAGCTGCTAATGGTAGCCACCACAGCTAGCTGCTGCTTCTGCTAGGCTATGCAGCAGTCTCAGTGAGATATACATATATACATATCTTTGCGTTTTGGACTAACTTTAAAATATTCCCATGCTTTTGAAGACCTAGGGCGAGATGTTTTCGTTTGGGGGCTTCGTGCGCAATCCTGTGAGGAGGAGGTGGTAGCCGTTTCAGTCTCCATTGTGTTTGAAGTGCGATTGCGAACTGCTTGTTGCTCTGGGTGACCCACGTGTGTGTAGCGACGCGTCGACGCGGAAATATGTCGTCGACGATATTTTGAAGTCGACATCGTCGACGCGTCGCTACAGCACTACCTTTCACATTGTCCAATATGTGTTGTTAAGTGCATGTCATAGTTAATCACTTCATCACACAATTTGAATCTTCAGTTCTTCTATCATTACCTACAGTATACTAATAGAAAATGCAACATTAAGCTGTAGATTCCAAGCTGGTTTAGATGTATGTGTTTCAAATGCTTCCTGGCTTTGTTTAACCATGCTAAATGGGATTACCTGTGATGGAATATGTGCTTCCGTTTCACCTGGCGCTTGTTTTTGTAGTGGAGCTGGAGCTTTTGCTGTTTTTGTCTTCTGCATGAGCTGATAAAAACAAAGTGTTAATAACACAAATATTATAACATTTATGTTATTTTCAACAAACAGGATAACATGGTTTGCTCTCAAAAAATACATACATTCTTCTTGTGCTGTCTGAAAACAAAAGGCTTGTTTATGGGTGTCACATAAATTCCTCGCCTGTTCTGCTTTCTTTTTTTCCATCGCTCCATGTCCACACGATGGGTCTGCAGTTAATAAGGAATATTGACAGAGTAAATGCACTCATAAATTACCTTTCATTACATATTCTGCCATTTCACGTTATTCAATGTTGTTTTCTTTTCACAACAAACATTATCTTTGCCTGAAATAAATGTATTATTTCATTAATTATTATTCATCAAAATTATGAAACCAACTACATTCAGCAAAGTTGCATCACAGTTTTGATTGGTGTATCAATATTATTGTGATATTATTAGCACACCTAATATAACTGTTAATAATGACCAAATTACCTGCAGAATAACTGTTGAGAAAATACTGAATGTACTCTTCGAATATCAGAGTAGCACATGATGACAAAGACCCTAAGTAGCTCTGTACGTAACAGGATGTGTGATTACCTAGAAGAGAATCAGGACTGTTTGAGGCATATGATAGCTATATGATTAACATGATGATTCAGCCTCTATGGAGAGAGACATATGACAAGCATGATCATTTCTGTCGTGAGCCTTAGCTAATCTGAACTAAACATTGTATACTGCTTTGAACCGGTATTCCTCCATCTTGTGACGGTGTAAAAAGTCTGTCTACAAGTCTCTTATATATAAAGCTTGTGAAGGACACTGCTCTGTGAACTATTTGTACCAAATGCTCTGTACGTGATGAATACTTCCATTCTTGCAAGGATAATAAATACATGTATCCTGATTATTGAAACTCAAGCCAGTGGCGAGTGATATTTTCCTAATCGATAGCAATGCTTAATGACTAGGGACAAATGTGATAACATAACAGCCATATATAAATAACAAACTGTACCTTCTTCCCCCTCCTCAGAGAGTCGCCATATTCCCTTAGCAGGGCGCTCAAGGTGACTTTGTATGTATGTACAAAATCGTCCAGCCTGGTCAGACGTCTCCGTTGAAAACGGATCTTTTTGAGGTCCCACTGGCTTTTTTCCATTATCCCTTGAGTTTTGTTGTCCTCTGTGTAATTCTGCGGTTGAACATATTAGTTACGGTACATCAAATTATATTGTTAACAATCACTTGGATTACATACTGTTTACATTGCAGTTTATAATATTGATTATAGAATAATGCATTGAAATTCAATATTACATCAAAGCTTTAGGTTTTTGTACCTGTGTGGGTTTTTTTGCAGCATTTTTGTACTTCTGGGAAAGTTTCTGATAAATGGTCCCTGTTCCATGGCGTCCGAGGTCACCTAACCAAACAGTAAACATGCCTTATTATTTTATATTACATTACATTAACAAGCAGCTATAGAAAGACGTGCAAAATAAAACTTACCCAAGAGTAGGCCAGACCACAGACCAGCCAGGGGCAGAAAGTACTTAAGCAAGGAAGGGATGAAAGTCGGGCAGAAGTACATGTTGTCATCACCAGATTTCTCAATAACTGTTTGGGTTATTAAGTCCTCAAAATGCTGTTTGAAGGGCGTAGGTCCGATATCATTCTAGAAAAAACAATCCACAAATAACTTTAGTTGCATTGCATTGAGCTTGGGGTAATAGAAAAATATGTAAACCATGTTAATATTTTTCATTGTTTCTGGTCACACTGCCTCTGTCCTCTTTTCTGTGCTGTGTTGTACTTGAAGGTAAACAAATAATTTGTAATGATATTTTTGAGCTATGAAACAACTTCCAACATTCACATAATTATTACATACCACACAGTCTTCCACAATGGTTGAATCGTCCAAGTTTGACTGCGCTGAATTTGTCAGTAGTCCTTGGAGATTTTCAAAATGTTTTCCAACATTTCTGTCACTGTGGGAGCTAGAGAATACCACCACAGCACTGGTGACAACTTCATCCAGCTCGGACATTGTGGTGGCATTTATTAGGCAAGGCAAGGCAAGTTTATTTATATAGCACTTTTCAACACAAGGCAATTCAAAGTGCTTTACAAAAAATGAAAGACATTAAGAAAATGGCATTTAAAATCAGTCATTAAAAAGAAAAGCTAATAAAATAAACATTAAAAGAAAAAATACATGGATAAAAGTTACAGTGCAGTCTAAGATGTGAATAGTTCAATTAAAAGCAGCGTAGTAGTTTTGGTAGTAGTCCAAGTAGTACTGAATCCAACAGTACCAATTACATTAAGAACTTATTGCACAAAATCATTTTATCTCTCATCAAAGATGGCAGAAAACATGCATTATTGTACTCAGGGGTGGAGTTTGACAAAGGATTACTCAAAAAATACACAGTAAAAGTACTTGATTGTACTTTTGGTAGTAGTCCAAGTAGTACTGAATCCAACAGTACTAATTACATTAAGAACTTATTGCACAAAATCATTTTATCTCTCATCAAAGATGGCAGAAAACATGCATTATTGTACTCAGGGGTGGAGTTTGACAAAGGATTACTCAAAAGGTACACAGTAAAAGTACTTGATTGTACTTTTGGTAGTAGTCCAAGTAGTACTGAATCCAACAGTACCAATTACATTAAGAACTTATTGCACAAAATCATTTTATCTCTCATCAAAGAGGGCAGAAAACATGCATTATTGTACTCAGGGGTGGAGTTTGACAAAGGATTACTCAAAAAGTACACAGTAAAAGTACTTGATTGTACTTTTGGTAGTAGTCCAAGTAACACTGAATCCAACAGTACCAATTACATTAAGAACTTATTGCACAAAATCATTTTATCTCTCATCAAAGATGGCAGAAAACATGCATTATTGTACTCAGGGGTGGAGTTTGACAAAGGATTACTCAAAAAGTACACCGTAAAAGTACTTGATTGTACTTTTGGTAGTAGTCCAAGTAGCACTGAATCCAACAGTACCAATTACATTAAGAACTTATTGCACAAAATCATTTTATCTCTCATCAAAGATGGCAGAAAATATGCATTATTGTACTCAGGGGTGGAGTTTGACAAAGGATTACTCAAAAGATACACAGTAAAAGTACTTGATTGTACTTTTGGTAGTAGTCCAAGTAGTACTGAATCCAACAGTACCAATTACATGAAGAACTTATTGCACAAAATTATTTTATCTCTCATCAAAGATGGCAGAAAACATGCATTATTGTACTCTGGAGGGGAGTTTGACAGGGGATTACTCAAAAAGTACACAGTAAAAGTACTTGATTGTACTTGTGCTACTAGTCCAAGTAGTACTGAGTTCAACAGTATTAATTTCACTAAGAACTTATTGCAAACAATCCTTTTATCTCTCATCAAAGAGGGCAGAAAACATGCATTATTGTACTCTGGAGGGGAGTTTGACAGGGGATTACTCAAAAGTACACAGTAAAAGTACTTGATTGTACTTGTGGTAGTACTCTAACAAGTAGTGAGTCCAACAGTATCACTTTTATTAAGGATGTATCGCTAAAAATCATTTTATCTCATCAAATATAGCAGAAGTTGCATGATTTTGTTCTCAGGAGGGGAATTTGAGAGTATTACCCAGAAAAAAGACAGTAAAAGTACTTCATTTTATTGTACTGAGTCAAACAGTTAGTTTTTTTAAGAACTCATGGTAAAAATAATTTGTATCGCATGAAGCAGAAAAAACATGCATTCTTTTACTCTTGCGTTGGTGCCACTTCTCAGTGATTACCGTAAAGGCGCTATAAATCGCGCACTCAAAAATGAAGAACTGCTCATTTGACCAAGCAAATTTGAGAGACGGCTGAGTTGACCGCAGTACAGGAACTGCGAGCTTCCAAAGGGCTTCATGGGAGAGGGATCTCAGACTGTACCAAATTGAACAGAAAATAGGGGGGGTTTCAATGTTTTCTGAGAATAATCTTTAGGAACAGTCCCTAAACAATCTATGTTGGTAATATTTATAAGTTGGTTCAACGTATGCACAGACCTGCTGGAGGCTTGCTGCTTGATAACCAATAGCCACCAAGAGCCTAGCTTAACCTCTGTGTTTTTTTACTGAGAAATGAAACCAACATTTAATAAATGATGATAATAAATTGCAAATGACCAAATATAAACAATAAGTAGACAGTCAGACACCTATAACAGTAATACATTTATTGTTATGCAACGAAGTTGGCAAACAAGTGAAAAAGAGTTGTAATTATCTTGCATCCTCTGCAAAAGTACAGTGTCAGCATCTTAGAGCTGAAGTATTCAGGTTCAATGGCAATGATTGTTGAGATATTCTTTTTACCTAGAGGCATAAAATGAAGGCAGTAGGCTACAGCTTAAAAACGTTCACACCAATTTCCCACTGCTCTATCCCTTTATAGTGCAGAGTAAATCTAACCATATTGCTGCTGGGGATCTAAAAGTAATTCTTGACACTTCTGATATAGCTGGTTGTTTCATATACAATCTCTCTCCCGTGATCGAATAAGATGGATCCTATGAGACCATCTGGATTGAAGGAGGTCTTTTTTTTTACTGCCCTAATGCAGCAGTATATCTGCACAACCCTGTCTCCTAAAAATTACGTTCCCACAGAACTAAACTGCATTCTCAATTACGTTTAGCTAGAAACGTATTTTCTCCCACGTTACGTTTGTTATGAACGTATCTCAAATACGTTTATTTTCTACATATCTTCTAGAAACATATCTTCTCCCACGTTACGTTCGTTATGAACGTATCTTAAATACGTTTATTTTCTACATATCTTCTAGAAACGTATTTTCTCCCACGTTAAGTTCGTTATGAACGTATCTTAAATACGTTTATTTTCTACATATCTTCTAGAAACATATCTTCTCCCACGTTACGTTCGTTATGAACGTATCTTAAATACGTTTATTTTCTACATATCTTTGCCATTTATTGCCTTGCTTATAATAATGATAATAGTCATTTATAAATATCATTTTAGAGCACACATTTGAAATCGAGAATCGGGCTCGATATATGGTTACATTAAAATCAGTAGGCGAGGCTGTAATTTCGGCAGCTGTGAGCGAGGCAGAAAATAA